GTTTTCGTCGCTTTCTCCACCAAATAATACCCACAATTAAAGCCAACACAACGATACATCCGACTACAATACCAGCGATTACTCCCGCTCCTACGGAAGAGCTAGATCCGTCGTCAGAGGTCATTACAGGCGCCGAAGTAGCTGCTTCACTGCCGCTACTACTATTACTACCGCCCACATTGACAATAGTAAAGTCCGAGCCTGCCGTACTACCGTTTCCGCTCGTACTACTGAATGTCTCCGACGCTGAAGTATAGAATACCAGTCCATAATCACTCGTATACCCCACAAAACACGTCCACTCTACGTCGCCAGTAATTGCTCTCCATCTTGGTACACGCGGTGTCACTAAATAATTGCAACTTTACAGACAAGTCCCTGTTGACAGAAGCTAGGGCACTTCCATACGTCGAGGTGTTCGGTAGAGCTCTGCACAGTCCGTCTGCGTAGAACGCTTGGCCGTTGGAGAAGGTGTCGCATGTATTGGCTGGCGTGTATTGCTCCAGTAGAACGTAAGGCGCGTCAGCATCAGCGAAGAGCGCGGCGGTCTCGGCCCGGTCGTTGCCGTAGCAGTCCACGCGGGTCGAATTCGCGTCCTCGTCGACCGATAGCGTGGTGCAGTCAGAGAACTGGCAACTCTCCACGTCTTCCTCGTAGATGAACTGGGGCGTCCCGGAGCACGCGTCGTCGGCGAAATAGCTCGTGAACGAGACTGTCCGAGCCTGGACGGAGGTAAGGAATAGCGAACACGCTAATACTCCAGGGATAGAGAGCACCATTACTGTGCCAGACACGCGCAATTACAGAATGAGGAATGACTTTACTGACTTCACTTTTTCACATCATTGTCTTATCATGGAATGGGTACAGTCACTTCGTTTTATGGCTCTTATCTTATCCTGTCAAAACACGCGCAACTTCAGCATATTCAGTATAAGTGAATATTCAAGGCAGCTAACGACGCGTACGAGCCATAAGTTTTTAAGCTATCAAGTGTATCAGCTTAGAATGGATAGGCCTTCTTGAGCTTCTCCTCGAAGTTGGCGTCGTTGAATGGAACCTGGGCATTGCCGAAGTCGAAAGTGTTGAGAGTCTCGCGTGCGGCATCGGTGAGTTGCTCCCACATGATGAGCGGCTGGAAGTCACCGGTTCGACTGCTGTAGTCCAGCATGGGCTGGCCTGCCACTTCGCTGATCGAGCGATACAGCAGTGGGGTGACACCATTGAGAATGCCAAAGTCCGGAGCTGGGGACTTCCTTTGATACTCATCGTCAGACGTGGACGTTGAAAGACCGAGAACTGCTGGCGTTGCGAAGTCGGGGTTGTCGATCCACACGACAGCGCTCGACCAGTCGTAGCGTCTTGATGCCACACCCATAAAGAATCCCTTGGGGAAGAACCAGGCATACATGATGGCCCACTTATCGTTGTACCAGGCCGCTCGTCCGTACACCTGTGAGCCCATTGGAGCGTCATCGCATGCGGAGTTGCCATTACTCCCCTTCAATCCGCCGCTGAAATCGCCGCCATCGTTCACAGCTGGGAACGAAACGCATCCGTCCGCGATGTTTAGTTGGGGTTTAAACTTGATTGCTGCCTTTTCAGAAATGGTGACTGGGTCAGGCTGGGGAATCGGTCCAAGTTTGTCGTGGTCAACCCTGCGAGCAGTAACTGCAGCGAGTGTAGCTGCGATGATGATGACCAACCCTCGGAAATTCATTGCTGTGAAGGAAGTCTGACTTGTGCAGCGGACGGAGAATACGAAAGTGAGCGACCGAGAGACCACAATTTTCCCCAGAGAACTGCTGTCAGGAACTCTACGGATAACGTTTGCGATGTGGCATCATATGAGCGATCAAAAGTTGCTCCAAAAGGTAACAAGACGCCAAACGGGATAGCTTTTTGTGATGTGATGAGTCAAATACCGATGCGCTCTACTCAAAATATCCGGTTCGATAAATTAAGCTATTTAAGTAGGTTGAAACTTGATCTGCCAAAACGTAAGTAGGCGACTTACAAATAGATTCCAATTCTCTCTCTCTCTCTGCACTGTTGAACACTTTTATCTTTTTAAAGTGACTCGAGACAAACGGCGTTAATATGGCTGATAGCTCCTAACGTTTTTAACAATTCAAAACACATTTTAGTTTCTAAATTGCAGGTAGTTTGTGAAGCTGAGATCTGCGCGTACGGGAGTTCCCATCATTACCGTTACTGTAAAGCTACGGAGACTATTTGCCATCGACAAACCATATTTGCAGCATCGTGGTCCACGTATTAATCTGGGTTTCTATTTACATTTGTGTCATTGTTACTACTTATGCTGTGCAGTAAAACGATATACTGACGTGTTGCCGGCTTTAGAAAGAGCACTACGG